TGATGTTCCTTTTCTGAAATGCCGTGTTACTTTTACGCCAGATGTAATAGGACATACACCTTCCAAAAAGTTCAACTTTTGTCTCGTCAGTCCACAGAGTATTTTCCCAAAAGTCTTGGGGATCATCAAGATGTTTTCTGGCAAAACTGAGACGAGCCTTTATGTTCTTTTTGCTCAGCAGTGGTTTTCGTCTTGGAACTCTGCCATGCAGGCCATTTTTGCCCAGTCTCTTTCTTATGGTGGAGTCATGAACACTGACCTTAATTGAGGCAAGTGAGGCCTGCAGTTCTTTGGATGTTGTTCGCCATTTGTGGATAATGGCTCTCACTGTGTTTCGCTGGAGTCCCAAAGCTTTAGTAATGGCTTTGTAACCTTTTCCAGACTGATAGATCTCAATTACTTTGTTTCTCATTTGTTCCTGAATTGCTTTGGATCGCAGCATGATGTCTAGCTTTTGAGGATCTTTTGGTCTACCTCACTTTGTCAGGCAGGTCCTATTTAAGTGATTTCTTGATTGAGAACAGGTGTGGCAGTAATCAGGCCTGGGTGTGGCTAGAGAAATTGAACTCAGCTTTCCAAAGATGTGATAAACCACAGTTAATTTATGTTTTAACAGGGGGGGCAATCACTTTCTCACACAGGGCCATGTAGGTTTGGATTTTTTCCCCCCCTTAATAATAAAAACCTTCATTTAAAAACTGCATTTTGTGTTTACTTGTGTTATCTTTGTCTAATATTTAAATTTGTTTGATGATCTGAAACATTTAAGTGTGTCAAACATGCAAAAAAATAAGAAATCAGGAAGGGGGCAAACACTTTTTCACACAACTGTATATATAAAATAATAAGCCACATTCATCAAGTTTTTACTTAAATTTGTTCTTGAGAAAGGTCCTTAGAAAAGTCTAATTCACGATGTGTTCTTGAAATGCAGAAATGTTCTTACAATGATGAATCCCCTTATCCCGGTAAAGTGAAAGCACAGTTGATCCTAATTAGCGGTTAAACATCCTGCCAGTCCTCATGAAAGGACACGAGACTGCAGGGCCGTGTGCACACAAAGAAATTTTAAAGAAAAAGGTGAGAGAATTAAGTCAAGAATGGCAAAACGAAAGTCTAAAGAGGGGTGGAGCAACGTAAAAAAAAACTGTTTCAATAGGACATTATTCTTAAGAGCTGTTGGTGAATGAGGCGCATTGTCTTTAGAGGATATTTGTAAAAATAGAGAAAAAAATCTGTGAATTTTGTCCCCTATTTCAAAAATGGGTAAGAATGTAAAAATAGTTTACTATTTATTTTGAGTGCCTGAATTCTCCTGCCCACCGTGCCAGTTTATATTTTCTTATCATTTCTTTTCCACTTCGTTATCAGTTTCCACTTCGTTATATGACAATGGAACATGTTTCTGGGAGTAATGTGAAAGCTGAAAGCGGGGCAGGGGCGAAGATGCCAACATGGAACAGAAATAATGTGCAGCTCTTTATTGAGATTCCAATGAAATGAGCCATGAATAGCTCCGACAGCTCGCCGACTCAACTCTGTGGCAGAGAAAAGAGCTGATGCACTGATCCAACTAGCATCCCGGATGTCCCCTTCACTTGAACTGGTTGTCTTCAACCCGGTGTCACCTGGTAGTCACCCATAAGAAGATCTCACTTCACAGAGTGAAAAACATTTCAGTCAGTCCAACAGCTTTGGCTCTCTGCTTCTGATGAATCAACTCAAGTTTGAGCTAAAACTGACCATGGCAGCATTCATTATAAATGGGCTGTTGTTTTAAAATGTGATTGCAACATAAAAGAGTTGGCTGACAAGAATGTGTGTGTGTGTGTGTGTGTGTGTGTGTGTGCACACAGCTCTAATTGATACTGAACAGAGCTGCACTGTCTCCAACCTCGTTATTACAGTATACACTCGCTGACCTGGACTGTGTGTGACTGTGTGTGTGTGTGTGTTAGTTTCTGTCGGTTGAACATGATGCGACATGAATGAACTGAAAATGAATGAAGTAAGCTGCGATGTACCTCCATGGCCAGCTGAAGTGCCTGGTGTGTGTGTGGGTATGGAGGAGAGGGTCGGTGCATGCTGGTGGCCACAGCATTATGGATATTCAGTGCTGACTGGAAGTCAGACTAAAGGAGAACAAAAAAAACACAGTAAGTATCTGCACATCAGCATGCCTGTATTTGCATTGCTTAAAAGTGGAACGACAGTGCAATGAAATTATAATACTTTTGTTACTGTATATGACTGAGTTTCAGTTTATAAACTATTCATGAAAGTTTTTGATTTGCTGTTTTCAAACTGCAGGCGTCCACTGGGACTTTGTAAGAAAAACTTGTCTTGATAACTCGAGGACTGACAGACCGGGCCGCGGGGACGTCGCTGTGCATCTGTGGCCTTGGACTAAAGTCAGGAGGGCACACACAGACGGCTCTTCTCATTTTACGTCTCGTCCATCATTCCAATTCACAAATATTTTCACAACAACATGGTATGAAGCGCGGCGAGCGAGAGTTGTGTGACAATGGTGGGCGAGCGCTGATTTGTTTCACGCATGTATCACAAGAATGGCTTGTATATCAGCAAGTTATTAGTAATAAATCTTCAAAGCTTTGAACTATTCTGTACAGCCCTCGTCAATACATTCCAAAGGCATGTGTACAGTAGTCTACACACCCCTGGGACAATATAACACATGCACGAGGAATTGGTTTTCATCTTTAGTAACGCAAAAGGACTCTACTGATAGGGATTTCTCAGTCGGTAACGCTGTTACAGTAACAAGTTACTTTTGGATGGCAGTAACGTAAAAATGGCGGTGTATGACGAGAGGGCCAAAACGGACAGGAAAAAAACTGTTATCAGATTTAGCAGGCTTAGTGTGGACATGATTTAAGTCAAACCAAACTTGAAATAGCAGCTTTGTGTTCATTGGTGACATATTTGTACAGTTAATAATCCCCTCTGTAAAGCCTAAAGGACAACTCTACCAAGCAACAGCAACACTGCTAGAACTATTCTGTTCTAGCAGTGTGTGCCTAATAATCAATCATATACTGGTGGATCATTAATATTTGTTTGACTAGTCACCAATAGACAGGAACTATGGGACAGGAACCAAAACTAGGTCCCTTCACTTTTCCTATTTCCTCAAAAAAAGATTCCTGGAAATGTCCCTGCAGCCACAAAGAGCCATTCAGAGCTTTCTGATGCATCCCGGGAGAGACACTGAATTATTTGTTACCGTTGGGCATAAAAAATATCCAACTTAAGAAATATTTAATACTGGCACAAAAGAGAGCCCATCCGTAGCTTCAGTTACAAAAAGATTTGAATTGTCTATCTGTAGCCTGTAGCCTGCAGCCTCCCCCCCCTCCCCATCCCCATCCAGAATCCTTCATTCCAACTGTACAAATCTTGTTGGGCCCTGTTGTCATGGATGCTCCAGCTCAGACGGTGGTGACCGCACCGCTCCGTCTTTGTAAATCCTTTCTACGTCAGAGGCCGGAATTACTTATTGACTCAGAGCCCTCTCCATCCAACTGCCTTCATATTACCTTGTTTAGTAGTGCAAGAACCAGCTCGACGTCATTCTGACTCTGCTGGTCGGACAGGCAGCCCCGGACCTGCTTCAGTGACAGCAGCAACTCCTCCAACTCTGCAAGAAAACATACACAAACTCACATTAATAACCGTTGACTTTTACACAGCAGCCTACACAAGAGAAAAGACGTAATCGGCTCGAAATTACAGATTCACTTTAGACAGCCTGCTTGTCCTGGCTTCAGACCAATGTGTGTGTGAGAGAGGCTGCATCTCATTTCTAAGAGAAGACGTCCCATCTTGTGTTCCTGTTTGTGTGCCGGTGTGTCAACATTACCACCAAAGATTTAATTAAGTCGCCCTCAAGAGCCTCTCATGTCCTTCTCTCCCTCCCAGAGGAATTTTCCTCCCTAACGGCAGACAAGTCTTCTTTACATTCCTTTCCCTCCCAGAGAGAGAACCACCCTCCACTCCTTTTTCTTCATCCCTTCATATTTTCAAGGTTTTAACACCCTTATCACCTCTACCTCTTTATTATGTCCTTTCACTCTGAGAGCTTCATTAATTACATCAATGATCTGTAATTCTACTGTCCTTTGTGTGTGTGTGTGTGTGTGTGTGTGCGCGTGTGTTCACCCAGCAGTGCGTGTGTGTGCTGGCTGCCGAGCGGCAGCTGCTGCGATGTGTGCGAGTCTTGCAGGAATGTGGGGTTGTCGATGCCGATGTGGGGATGCTGGGAGAGCTTCCTGAGTCTGAGCGAGGCGTTCAGGTCCAGCTGCCGACCCTCCTCCTCTCTGCGACGACGCAGATCCTCCTGACACACGTACGGACACATAAATGCATCATGGATAGAAATGGGGTTTTTAAAGGCGTTCACTTCTCAGTTGAAGTCTTGTACCATCCAGCCTCTCTGCTTTGATGCACTCACAGTTTACAACATGATGCTCAAATGCTAATTCTTACATGGAATAATCTACCGATCTAAAACCAATATTAATTGGTTATCAAACTTTTATGTATAACAAAAGTGCCCAATAACAAAATGACCTCATTTGTCATATGTGGTGCTTTAATGATTTGTCAAGTATCCATATCTTCTGCAATCCATCTTTGAGCCTGATATTAAGTAAAAGAACTAGTGCTGGGCAAGTTAACGCGTTAATTTCGCGTTATCGCATTCATTAATTACAATACAATACAATTTACAATACAGACAATTATTTTATCGCGCGTTAACGCATTTTTAAAATATATTATATTATTATTTATTTATTTTTTTTAATTGAAAGACAAGAGACAATACATATACATAACAAGAGGATGACAAGAACAGTGGGATAAAAGCCAGCAAACATCCTATAGTCAGTAATTTTAGTGCACCTATATGCTGAAATTCACGGTAAACGCATTTAAACGACACAGATCAGGAGCGAGCGAAGGACTTTGAAAGTTAGCGGAAAGATTAACGTGAGACAACATCCGGTTTCTTCAGACGAACATCCGGTTTTCAGAATAAGATGCCAACAAAGTATGAATTATATTCACATTAAGTATAAAACATGCTACCTGCATCTCGTGAACCAAATGTTATTGCCCTTTTGTTCATATAGCAGTACTTTTAAAATAAAAGTGCGCAATACACTACTTTTGAATTCATTATTGAACTAACAATGCGATTAATCGCAATTAATCGCAAAAAATCCATGCGATTAATCGCGATTAAATATTTTAATCGTTGCCCAGCACTAAAAAGAACACTTCACTGTATAATTTTTTATGAAATGAAATTGGCTGAGTGAAAGGTTGTTTTGCACATTATATAATCGAGGTGATGCCAGCTGAAACCTGGGAGGACCTTAAAACAACCAACCAATATTTGTTCAGAATCTATTAGAAACAAGGGAGCTTTTTGCTAATGCTTGGTGAGCCACATCTAAAACTATGTTGACCAAAGTACTATAGAAAATAATCACAATTCAAGTTGCACACACAATATTCTTCTCAAATCTTTTAACACAACATTGTTGTTTGTCGAGATGTTCACAGTGTGGGACTAGGTGATAACATATAACTAGAAAATTTCGCAATAAATTTTGACAGTGTGGCTTCTACTGCGCGAAGATGTCGCACGCCGATGTTACCAGTAGTATTGTTGAGGTTCGATTGATATATCGCTTCTCTTTTATCTGCATTTTAGATTCATACTCTTGGATTGAATCTTGTATTTGTGATGGACAGTTCACAAATCAACTGTCATTTCTGTACTGGACATGTACATCTTTGTTTGAGAAGCCTTTGGAAATGATGGGAACGCTCCCATCATTTCTGTATTTGAGATATAAACATTTGTTTGAGAAGCCTTTGGAAATTTCTGTACGAGCCTCATTCTGAGCTTCATGTTAAGATACTGTTACTCTATGGAGCTTTTATTTTGAAAGGGTGGGACTGGGTGAGGAGACATATTCATAATGTTTGACACACAAACACAGAGGTTATTAAATGACAGGCTTCATCACAAGCATTCCAGTTAGAATTCACTCTCTGGGGCTTTTATTTTGAAATGGGAAGGGTTCTCTAAAAGACCTGAATGACTATATATATATATTTACAGTGGGTACGGAAAGTATTCAGACCCCTTTAAATTCTTCACTCTTTGTTTCATTGCAGCCATTTGCTAAAATCAAACAAGTTCATTTTATTTCTCATTAATGTACACTCAGCACCCCATCTTGACAGAAAAAAACAGAAATGTAGAAATTTTTGCAAATTTATTAAAAAAGAAAAACTGAAATATCACATGGTCATAAGTATTCAGACCCTTTGCTCAGTATTGAGTAGAAGCACCCTTTTGAGCTAGTACAGCCATGAGTCTTCTTGGGAATGATGCAACAAGTTTTTCACACCTGGATTTGGGGATCCTCTGCCATTCTTCCTTGCAGATCCTCTCCAGTTCCATCAGGTTGGATGGTGAACGTTGGTGGACAGCCATTTTCAGGTCTCTCCAGAGATGCTCAATTGGGTTTAGGTCAGGGCTCTGGCTGGGCCAGTCAAGAATGGTCACAGAGTTGTTCCGAAGCCACTCCTTTGTTATTTTAGCTGTGTGCTTAGGGTCATTGTCTTGTTGGAAGGTGAACCTTCGGCCCAGTCTGAGGTCCAGAGCACTCTGGAAGAGGTTTTCTTCCAGGATATCTCTGTACTTGTATTCATCTTTCCTTCAATTGCAACCAGTCGTCCTGTCCCTGCAGCTGAAAAACACCCCCATAGCATGATGCTGCCACCACCATGTTTCACTGTTGGGATTGTATTGGGCAGGTGATGAGCAGTGCCTGGTTTTCTCCACACATACCGCTTAGAATTAACGCCAAAAAGTTCAATCTTGGTCTCATCAGACCAGAGAATCTTATTTCTCATAGTCTGGGAGTCCTTCATGTGTTTTTTGGCAAACTCTATGCGGGCTTTCATATGTCTTGCACTGAGGAGAGGCTTCCGTCGGGCCACTCTGCCATAAAGCCCCGACTGGTGGAGGGCTGCAGTGATAGTTGACTTTGTGGAACTTTCTCCCATCTCCCTACTGCATCTCTGGAGCTCAGCCACAGTGATCTTTGGGTTCTTCTTTACCTCTCTCACCAAGGCTCTTCTTCCACGATTGCTCAGTTTGGCTGGACGGCCAGGTCTAGGAAGAGTTCTGGTCGTCCCAAACTTCTTCCATTTAAGGATTATGGAGGCCACTGTGCTCTTAGGAACCTTGAGTGCTGCAGAAATTCTTTTGTAACCTTGGCCAGATCTGTGCCTTGCCACAATTCTGTCTCTGAGCTCCTTGGGCAGTTCCTTCGACCTCATGATTCTCATTTGCTCTGACATGCACTGTGAGCTGTAAGGTCTTATATAGACAGGTGTGTGCCTTTCCTAATCAAGTCCAATCAGTTTAATTAAACACAGCTGGACTCCAATGAAGGAGTAGAACCATCTCAAGGAGGATCAGAAGAAATGGACAGCATGTGAGTTAAATATGAGTGTCACAGCAAAGGGTCTGAATACTTATGACCATGTGATATTTCAGTTTTTCTTTTTTAATAAATTTGCAAAAATTTCTACATTTCTGTTTTTTTCTGTCAAGATGGGGTGCTGAGTGTACATTAATGAGAAATAAAATGAACTTTTTTGATTTTAGCAAATGGCTGCAATGAAACAAAGAGTGAAAAATTTAAAGGGGTCTGAATACTTTCCGTACCCACTGTATATA